AGAGTCTTCATCTCATATTAATATTGATTTAAATAGATAGTTAAAAATCCTAGCCAGTTTATGGGAAAAATTAATATTACTTCAAGACTGATACATACGAGGATTCCCCTCTTAATACCTTTAAGGTTTTTCAAGAAGATTGATAAGTTATTAAAGTTTTTATGAGAAGGACAGACCCCTAAATTTTATTTATCCAAATTATGACTACCATATAAACCCTATATGGAGCTTTAAACTTCCTGACTTTCTTCTTTATCATTGGGCATATATTTTGATCTCTATTTCATTATAGCATCCAAGAGATCAAGCTGAAAAACTGCTATGGGCACAGCTAGGAAGTTTTTATATGATTCCTCTGATATCTTGGCAGGACTTGGTTCCTTTTTTCGTCACATTTCAATTTTATTTTCATCATTAAAAGCTGCAAATTATATTTGGAAGATGTTAGAATTTTGACCCTTATTGATTGAATGATTATGGTAAGCGACTAGTACAGAAAGGAAAGAAAAATAAAATATAATATACTCCATATGTATATAACCCTAACTCTAAGCCACAAGTATTTAGGCAAGTGAATTAAGTAAATAAATTTAACATAACATAAAATTGTACACATAAAACCTATAAAGCTAATTTAAATAATTAAACGTATAAAACCTATTATCTGTGAAGCTGTCTGCTTTGTTTACTTCTTTACAATCCTTATATGCACTTAAGCAGATAAGTAAGAAGCAATAAGTTAACAGTAAATGATTTTATGACATATAATATTTTAAGACATTAAAATAAAATGTAAATGTTGCTTTTCTAAGCCAGTTGGTATTGTTTTTCATAAGGCACTTTTATAACACTGCACAATGGCAAAATATAAAATTAAATATGCTTTTGGATGACCTCTGGCAGGAGTGGGATGGAGGTAGTGCATCCATCCACTTCGCGGCCTTTGGTAGCCTTCAGTACCGTTGACCATGGTATCCTTCTAGATCAGCTCCATGGAGTGGGAATGGCTAGCACTGTATTGTGCTGGTTTTCTTCCTTTTTATGGGGTAGATACCAGTCGGAGTTGATCGGGAGTGAGAGGTCCCACCCTCAGCCCCTATTATGTGGGGTGTTGCAGGGTTCGGTACTCTCTTTGCTCCTGTTTAACATCTATATGAACCCACTAGGTGAGATAATCTGTTGCCATGGGCTGAGGTATCATCAGTATGCTGATGATATTGAATTATGTATCTCTACCCCTGGCAAACTAAACAATGCTGTTGATGTCCTGTCTTGGTGCCTGGAGGCTGTGGGGGTCTGGATAGGGAACAACAGGCTTCAACTGAACCCTGGCAAGATTAAGTGGCTTTGGGTTTTAGGGCCTTCTGGATCCGGGACTTTACCATCTTTGGTACTGGATGGGATTGCACTGCCCCAAACAGACCTGGGTGCACAATCTGGGGATCTTTCTGGATTCATGACTCCTGTTCAAAAAGCACATGGCAGTCTTGTCTAGGAGGGCCTTTGCACAGCTTTGTGTTGTGCATCAGTTGTGCCCATTCCTGGATCACGAGGCTCTGCTCACAGTTACTCATGCCATGGTCACCTCCTGAATGGGCTATTTTAATGTTCTGTACATGAAGCTGCCCTTGAAGAGCATCCGGACACTTTAACTGGTGTAAAATGCAGCGGCATGGGCAGTTATGCAAGCTGCATTCATTGCCAGTTTGCTTCTGGGTTCAATTCAAGGTGCTGGTTTTGACCTTTAAAGGCCTACATGGCATAGGGTCAGGCTATCTGAGGGACCACCTCTCTACCCATCAAGTCTGGCAGGAGGGGCATATTACCTGTCCCATTTGCTAAAGAGTTCCATCTGACAGGACCCAGGAAGCCAGCCTTTTCTGCCATGGCACCTGCCCTTTGGAACATCATTCCTCCCAAAGCGAGAAAAGCCCCAACCCTACTGGCATTTAGGAATCCCTGAAAATATGGGTTTTTTTCAGCAGGCTTGGAGATCCCATGGAAATGGGGAGTCTGCAAGATGATTATAGGATGCTAGTCCATTCTCACATCTTTTTATTTATATTTGTGTTTGTTTTAATTGTTTTAACTGGTTGTTTTATTCTATGCCACCCAGTCACGTCTGTGAGATGGGCAGCTATATAAATCTGTTAAATAAATAAAAAATATTTTGATTTAATGGTTTGGCCCAGTTGCTTTAGCAGTATCTAAAACTTGTGAATTACTGTTGGCATTAAAATGTTACTTTTAAGTCTATGTTTTTATAGACAACTAAAGAGTATTGTTAAGATAGATATTTGCTATGTGCAAGGACTTTGAAATAAATAGTTCACTTACCCCATAATTACAGATCAATGATTTAGGATCTTAAAGAATATTATGATATGCTGTTAAAGTGTGACTAATTCAATAAAATATTTTCTCATGCTTATTAGACATTTCAGAAAATGTTTTTTAAAAGTTGGCTCTCAAATTCATTATGCTGCAAGTGTAAAATTATGGAGGGACACATTCATATAATACAGGCTTGCCCCACTATTCTGTTTAGGTTTAATATTTTAAGTTTGTTCATTTGGATTAGGAACAGTAATAAGATTAAGATACTAATGTGATTTTGAATTATATGCTAAACATTTAGAATTTATCATATTCAGAACTATGGATTTACTGAGCATGGGGCGTGGGGGAAAAATTACTCTTTTAAAATGGAAAGACAGTGGCATCCGCATTTAGAGCCTTGGATGGATGATATATATTTACTTTCTGCTTATGAACTGGCTCTTTACTGATATAATAGAAAGCTTGATCAGTATTAGGTTGTGTGGTCAAAGTTTAATATTGTGTTTAAAAACTGACTTTTTGTCAACTAAAGCAATAATAAAAATTAAAAATCTATGCATAGATTTTTCTGTGTTGCCAATGGTATCTTTTTGATCTCAGGTGAAAGCATATTAATTCTCCCAAGTTTAAGGACCATTTAGTGCTTTTATTTCTTTGCACATTTTTTATTTGGGGCTGCTTTTATTTGGTTTCAATTTTGTTCCTTGGGTGTTGTTTTTTTTAACCAATTATTATTCTATTGTGTATTATGTTTTTAATTTTTCTGGTATATGGCCTAGACAACTCTGGTTATTGGGCAGGTTATGCATTAAATATCTGGCCTGTTTTGGGATTATCAATGATACTTCAGCTTTTGAAAAAGAGGACACCCGGGGATGTTTGTTTTTTAATCCAGTGTTTGGTATGAAATCCCAAATCTTCAGTGTTTGTGGTAGCTGGTACAACTCCTTGCTACTTCAACTATGATAGGAAAGGATAAAAATGTGAGCTCATCTGGTGTTTGTGGAGAAGCAGCACAAGTTTCTGCTCCTTAAGTCAATATTTGCTGTATGAAATAAACCAACATTTAGAAAGGCTTTTCAGGAAGGAAAAGAATACTGTAACTATAAACTCCCCGAACTTCGGACTGTGCCTTCTGGTGTTTCGTGGCCAGCAGCTTCTTTACTTGTAGGTTGCTGGCCACTCCCTCTCTCTGTTCCCACAGCAATCAGGAGGCCGCAGGGTCCTGGCGTCTTTCCGACAGACTTTAGCTGGGAAGGGCCAGACCTGTTACTTCTGAGTGCTGCGCGCGCCGTCGGCCGCCGCTCCCCCGCTTCCTCCAGCTGAATTGCCGCTGCAGTTCCAAGCCCGGACGTTTCGAGATAATTTTAGTTCCGGCAGGACGGAGCGGGACTGCGGTAGAAACTGGACGTCTCCGGAAAAATCCGGAGGTATGGGGACTCTAGCATGTGTTAACTTTAGTAACATCATCTACCTTTTCGTGGTTGCAGGAGGGGAAATGAGTGATGAACTTTGTAGTGGGGTATAAAGTATCTTTTTCATTTTTTGTAAGTTTATCTTTTCAGAACACCGAGTTACTGAATTCAAGCAGTAGAAAAAGCCATAGCTTGCTGAACAATAATGAATAAATCACCATTATAGCCATTAAGTTATAAACCATGATTTGCTGAAAAAGCTGCAGTAGCTAAGGTGATCACACATTATGCTAAACTGAAACTCAACAAACTACACTACAGCTCAGTGCAGTGTGTTTAAAAACAAACAAGGAACTGCTGGCCAATTAGTGCAGAGGTGGCACAGATCAGACAAATTGTCAATCAACTGGCCACGGCATTCTCTTTTGTCTGGTGCTGAACCTTACCCTCAAATAGGGTTTAATTTAATTGGTTTAAATTCACATCTGAATGTTCTTTATGAATCATTGGTCTGTGTTAGGAACAGTGTTAACCCAGATAAAATCTAGTTGATGAGGAAACCTTAGTGGTTTGGTTTGCACAAAATACTAAAACAGAAGGAAACACACCACATTATAGTTTAGCATTGCATGAATCAAATCACAATATCAAATACCAAGCTAACGTAACAACATTGCTTCATCTAACTGTGCTGTACACACAACCTATACCATAGGTCCATATCTGAAAATACTATGTTATTTCACAAACAATGAGAACTTTGTGGGGGGTTTTCCCTTAAAGTACATGATTTATTTGGATATACTGCTATATAGAGATGCTAAATAGGCTGCAAAAAGGTATAGCAAATAATAATTTCAAAGGAGAAAAAACAGAATAAGGATTTGAAATCTTTGAATTAATGTTGCAAAGTTTTAAAGTGTGACAAGCAGAATGGAATTGTATAGGAAGTGGAGTGAAGAGAAAGCTAAAGCAAATCTTGGATAGGAGAGATGAACTAGTTCCAGAAAGTGGGCTAATATGGATGCAGTGATTTTAAAACTCCAAAACTGCTGACTTTAGACTATAATTATGACTATTTCATATTGGCTCAAGCTCTGCAAAGCCAGGATTTAGAAAGTAATGTAGATGGCCTTATGATGATGATATACAGTGTTACAATAAAAGCTCAGATGTTTTATAAAGTGACCAAGGACTGTACCAACAAGAGGTACCTTTGTTGGTCATAGGTAATCCATACTGTGAATCTGGATTTGATCTGAATGACCAAGGAAGAGTGTTGATTCATGAAGATTAAGTTGTAAGAAAGCATGGCTGGAATGGGTTCACACATCACATTAAGCCACATATAGAACTTATATATGCCAAAAGAACTGACAGATGTGTAATTGCTTCTTGTTCTTTTAAGCAGTGGCACATATTGTATTCCATTTTCTTCTCCAGGAAATAAAAGTTGACTTTTTAGGAAGTCAGTAGGAGTGAAGGAAATCCTTTTGAATATATCAGTTTCATGTTTAGTGCTATCTTCCTTTGTCTGCATATCATTCTTATTTACATAATCCCATTTGGAATTGTTCTTTGTGAAGGGACACTTTGTGCTAACTTTTCCTTTTGGTGCTGAGCTGGACATAAAAGAGCACTTTCATATACATATATTCAAGAAAAATAGAAAAAAAAAGTTAGCCCTCAACTTATGACCACAGTTGGGACTGGAACGTCTGTCACGCCCATAGAGGGTAAGATACAGGCTAGGTTACAGAGCATGCTTAAACATAATTTATTGAATGAGTCACAAGGGTTAGGGTGCAAGGTTTGGGTTAAGGGTTAAGGTGCAAAAACCTTTGCAAGGTTTTTTTAGCTCAGTGAATAAACCAGGCCACAGATTCTTTTTTCATCAACATCACACCATCCGTTCAGACTGTGACATCTGTTCAAAACTCAGGATTTGTCATACTTGCTGTAATGAGGAACTGGGTCAGGCTGAAGCTAGGTTAACATCACGCTAAATCAAAATCAAACATACTGCATTGTGGCTCAGTGTAATGTGTCAATTTAATTGTTGTGGTTTGTAAACTATAGTTTATGACTTCATATGGTATATGAACTAAGTCTGCTTGTAGACCATATGGTTTGTAGTCTCAGGGTTAACGTTTTAAAGCTGCAGAGTATTTTACCAGCTAGAGTTTTCATGGAAGGCTTTTTTGCATGAATATGATATCCAAAGTACTTTAACTATTGGGAAAATTAAAAATTCAATGCTGTTGAAATTATGACAGCACTGAAAAAATGGACTTACGACCTGTGCCTGAAGATACAGCTGTTGCAGCACCCCCATGGTCAAAGTGATCAAAGTTCAGGTACTTGGCAGCCCGCCCACACTTATGACCGCAGGGGCACTGCAACTCCCACCACTAGCCTATCTCCCTCTCCATCTACGCCCTTTTGGCTGCCCAGCACAGTGGCACTCGTCAGTGGCAGTGCCGGGGCTGGGGCTGAAGTAGAGGCCTGAGGCCTTCAGCAGTCTCAGCCAGCTGCCACAGCCCCCAGGCCTCGACTTTAGATTTTGCTTTCCTTTTCCTGCTCCCCCGCCCTTTGGAATGCTCAACCCAGGGCTGGGATAGCCAGCTCAAAACTGACAAGACTAATGTTTTACACCTTTGAGTTTTGTTCGCCTCCTAACCACTCCCCTGCCCTTTGGAATGCTCCCCCAGGCACTGGGATAATTAGCAAGAAGGGAAATAATATTTGTATTTACATTCATTGGAGAGGAAGTGATTACAAGAGAGTAAGCAAGCAAACAATGGGGAATACACTGGAATGTTTATGTAGTGGGCTACCAGCTCCATTGCATTCCTTTCTATGTGCATTCCCCATTGTGTGCTTACTTACTCTCTTGTAATTCCTTCCTCTCCAATCTCTCCACTATGCAAGGAGGTTGAAAAAAGAAAAACAACCGGTTAGGCACAGGACAATGCATACTGACTATACTGGCAATCATGTGACAGGGACGCTTGTGAAGGTTGTAAATATGGGCATTGGTTGCAAAGTTATTTTTTCAGCACTGTCATAACTTTGAACAGTCGCTGAACAAGACATTTGCTAAGCGAGGACTACCTGTAGTGCATATATATATATATGCTCTTCAGCCTTTAGAACCACCCAAATATCTACTGTATTTGCATAAACATTTAAATCAAATTTGTAAATGGATTACCAGTCTTCAGTGGATATTTTCACCTGAATCCTGAATGATAAAATGCAGGCATTACTCCTGTGGTAATAAACTTACTGTGTTATATTTCTTCTGCTGAACATAGCATAGACCTTAGTGTAAGATTTGCCTTATCTGCGTCAGGTTTTGAATGCAGTGCTCTTTTAGGATTGATATTCCTATAGTCTGATATTCTCTGTAGGTGTCAATTCCCACAAATATCCTATTTAAATAACTTGTGTAAATTCTTCAACCATTGTATCCATTTAGAGTTGAAAATCAAAGCAGAGCCTGTCTGTCCATTCTTCCCCTTCATTTTATAATTGTTTCTCTCAAGAGTATTACATGTGGGCACGAACAATTTAAAAGAGCTGTCTGTGTGCTTTAAAAATGATTCGGAAAAAGTGCTTTGGACCTTGTGTGAGTGTGGAATCTCTTTGCCATTCACTACAGCAGCCCAATCTTTTTCAGGCTTCAACATGAACCTGAAAAAGGAGGTTTGCTTTATTAAGTATACGCATGCTTCCAGGAGATCCAAATACTTTTTGAAGTATGCAAATACATTTTGAAGTATGCACAGCCCAACAGTTTAATAAAACAAATAAATAACAAAAAAACTTCATATCCTTTGTTCAGAATATAACTTCTTTCTATTATTCAAAATACAGCTTAAGCATCTTAATAATGAGGATGCCAGGTGACCATTTTTGGAGTGGAACTTCTACAGAAGTTAAGAAATTGTTTCCTTTCTTGCCACCTGTTTGACCCCTGTAGTGGTATTAAAATAGTTTCTTTTTATTTATTTATTATTGCTTTTTAATTAATAACAAAAAAAGAAGAAAGAAAGCAAAACACAATCGTACTAATGATGGGATATATATATCATCAAAGAAAAATAAGTGCTTTACAAAAAAGTGAAAAAAGTGCGACAAAGAAAAAACAGTATGATATGTCATTGTCATTATAAGCAGTTACAATTCTATACTTATCTAATGCAAATATTAATCAAGCACGTATATATTTCTAATACATTTATATGACTGTCATGTTTTTTTTTAACCTACTGTGTTTTGTGTAAATGAGTCCTGTATTTCATTATACTTGTCTATACAAAGTCTAAGTCTACGCAATCCGCTCATAGGTGGCAAGTGCGATCAGGTCTTCAATCCATTGAGTAAAGAGCGCCATACATTTATCTTTCCAATACTGCATTATCAGTCTTTTGGCCATAGTAAGGGCATGGAGAATCCAGTTACATTGTCCACTTGTCTATTTCCATGTCCATTAGAATATTTTCAGTAGAAGTGTTTAACTGTTGGGAAGGATGATATAGAGTCCATTAGGCAAGATAGCTAAGAGCTATCATTTATTCTTCTGTAATATTATCAAATGTCAGAGATCCAGCATTATTAATCTTTAATATATAAATTATAAATATTCCATTTCAGTTCCAATATGCATCTTTTATTTCAAATCGTTTGTACTGTGCCAGGTTGTTGTTATTGCATGTTGTGTGAAGCATTTCTGTATTATGTAATTACACTGGAGTTCTATTTATTTTCTCTCTCCTTTAACTGTGCCGATTTAGTATTGCCTCAAAGAGACCTAGTGTATAAATACAATACACATCTTCCCATTCAGACTCATTGGTGGTTCTGTTCTTCCTTGGTCTACATTTAGGACAAACAGTTCTATAAAGGTTGCTTCAAGGCTGTGCATAATTTAATATGCATGAGTCTTTAGTCCTCACATTCTCTTGTAGCAACAGAAGAGGACTGATAGTTCTTGGCAGCTGGAAGAGGAAGAAGCAACATCATACAATACCAGGACATAAGAGGGAAGAAAGAGGCAAGTCCACTGGGATGTGCGGAACTGCCCCTAAATAATGAACTATGGCTATAACTTGCATATACATAATTGACACACTTTCCTATCCTTAGGGCTCCTTTAGGAAGGAGTACAGCTGATATCTTGAAACAGCTTGAAATAGCCTCTGTGTGGTAGGTATTATATTTATACACTAGATCTCTTTGAGATTCAGATTCATCCCTGTTTTGACGGTAACATGAAATTAAAATTTGTGAAGAGAGACAGTCTATATAACACAGTGGTTAAAACAACTTTGCTTGTCCAGTTGAAAGATCAGGACAAACTGCCAGTGTACTCTGACATAAAAGAGCACACTAACATTTCCACAAGGTTGTCAGTTGCATAAACAGTACATAATAATCATAACATGAATTTCGATTACAGTATGAATGAAAAGAAGTACTAAAAGGATATTCTTTAGTCTCAGAAGTTTGCTCCTGCTTCAGCAATAAAGCTAATGGGAGGAGTAGATTAAAAAATCCTCAACTGAATAGTGAACCAACTGATGAATAGTCAGTATGCTATTTTATTAGATTATTGGTTTCAGTTCCTGTCTGAATAATTTTATGGGTTGCCACAATCCTTTTTATCCACAATAGTACACAATAACAAATAACATTAACTCTGTTTTCTTTCATTCCAGGTACAGTCTACTCTGCAGTATAAAGGCATTATGTACTCAGAGTGGAGGTCTCTACACCTTGTAATTCAAAATGATAAAGGTCATACTAGCGTACTTCATAGTTATCCTGACAATGTGGGAAGAGAGGTGGCAAATGCTGTTGTTCGTCCCCTTGGCCAAATCTTGAATTCATCATCAACGGCTGGAAATGAAAGTTTACTAAAAACCGACAAAGAAGTGAGTACCCATCTGCCCAATTTTTAATTCCACTTTCTGTATGTGTAACTGTCAATAAGTTGGTTTCCATAATTTAAAAATAACAGTGCTGAGAAACAGACATTTGTGTATATTCTGTTAGAAACCATTCCATGGTGAATCTATAGCAGCAGCAAAGTATAATCATTTAAAAATAGATATTGTCTCTAATCTGATTCAGATTTGCAACTAAATCTCTTCTGTTAACTTGACTGGATCTGTGCCACAATAACATATTACAGGTAGTCCTTGAGTTACGACCATTTGTTCAGTGACTGTCCAAAGTTACGGTGGCTCTGAACAAATGGTACTTATGCCCGGTACCCAACGTTATGGCCGTTGCAGGGATCATGCTGTCACCTGATCAAAATTCAGGTGCTTGGTAGCCTGCCCTCACTTACGACTGCAGGGAAGCTTCAACTCCCCCTACCCGCCTATCCCACCCCCATCTCTGCCCTTCTGGCACCCTGCACTCTGTGGTCTCTGCCGCCCTGTGCTCCACCAGCCCCAGCTGACCTTCACCGTCTTTGCTCCCGCTGATGGAGCATGCCTGACCTGGCCCTTTGTGAGGCAGCTGCTGACCATGCGAGGCTTTCTTCCTGAGGTCGCATGTGGCAGTTTCCTTGCAAGACCTGGGGAAAAAGGCCTCGTGAAGGGCCAGGTCAGGCACACCTTGTCAGCAGTGGAACCAAGAAGACAGCAAAGATCAGCTGGGTGGCAGAGTGCAGGGTAGTGAGGGTTGCTGTGGCTGGGGCTTCATGCCATGCTGCTGGGCTAGGGGAGCTGCAGCTTCATGCCATGCTGCTGGGCTGGGGTGGGTGGCTGCAGCTTCTCAGGGGAGCTGTGGCTTTGTGGTGCTGGGCTGGGGTGGCTGGAGTTCCTGGGGTGGCTGCAGCTTTACACTGCAGCTCAGGAGCTTCTTGAAGCCCCAGAGCTGCGGGTGCCAAGAAGCCCCTGACCTGCAGTGCGGCAAGCAGCCCCAGAGCTGCACAGTTCTGGAGCTGCTTTCCATCCCACAAGGCAGGGGGTGTGGTGGCCAGAAGGGCAGAGATGGGGGGGAAATAGGCGATTGTGGGGAGTTGAAAGGGAGGCAGTTTCTTAGCTTGGAAGAACTGAATCTTGGGATTGGAGGGACCAAGTTGGGAATGGCTTGGAATGGGATGGTTCTTGGCTAACGACCAGTGGGATTCGGTTTACGACAGCAATGGGGGTTGTTGGAAATGCTGTCACTAAGTGATGCAATCACATGATGTTGAGCTTTATGACCGTATCACTTAGTGCTGGAGATTCTGGTCCTAATTGCTGTCGTAATTCAAGAACTACCTATATTTTGATGAAATATAATTTCAGTAGAATTACAGAAGATGTTTTAGTATTGCAATCCATCATCTAGGACAGCCTACTCTTGATAAATCTACATTAACTTAATGTTATAATTATCAATACTAGTGTCTCAATAATTTTACTTGGTTTTACTCTGTAGCATGTAGGCATTGTGCTAAACGTGTCTTAAATGCATCCAACTGCTATTTTTTTTTTTTTTTATCCATCCCTGGCTTTAGTCCTAGCAGAGGTAAAAGAGCTTATCTCCAACCTGCAGTAATCATAAAACTTTTCCCCCTATCCTGGCACTAAGAAGATACCTGTTTTACAGATATTTGTATTAAGAAAAATATGTGGAGGAAATTATTGCTGTATCGCTGCCCTTTGCTTTGAAAAGCATACAGCTAGAGGTGCATTTCAGCAACTGAGATGACAACTCCATAGGGTAGAAAATGTTCCTTAAAAACAATTTGGCAGATATATTTATGGAAAACGTATGATTTTGCTGCTAGTGACATTTAAAAAATGCCTATTTAGCATACCTACAATTTAATATAATAGGATGGGAAATAGTAACTCAGAACAACCAATATACTTTTTACTTTGTAAAATAATTATGATGTGGTTTTAATAAATTGTCACTTATCACTAAACTACACAAAGAATATTCAGTGGTTGAGTTTACATATTGTGCTAAGCCATATTTAGTTTTAACTGTACTTTAATGAAGAAGCTTAGTGGTCTGGTTCATATCTAAAGCTAAGCTATAAATTATAGTGTACAAACCACAGTGATAGGTACACACAACAATTTTAGTGAATTCTGGCTTTAGTTTGCCATTAGAACACAGTCACCATGTTCATATTGGCTCAGACACTCTATGTTCAAACCGTATAACTCACATGCTGTGCAGCAACTGATGTGATCATTGGTAATTTCAGCATGAACTATAGTTAATTAAGGTTTATATAGAATTTGTTCAATTTTGGAGAATTTCCTCCCTTTCTTACAATTCCCCATTCCTTTGTTCAGGAGACATATGTGTTTAAAGGAATTACATTGTAAAATGGGTGTGTATAGTTGCATATAAATATCTAAACATCCTGGTCGTCAAATATATGAACCCACAAATGAATGGAAGCTGATATAACCACTACATGGTAGAAGATCTTTTTGCAAATTTGAATGCAAACTTACTATCTCTGTATAGTGGTTTACAGATTCAGAATAAGAAAGCAACTGCACAGGAGATGCAGAACTTTGGACATCCTTTCATTAAATACTTTGTAACAAATCTGTCAGTAGAAATAAAAGCTTCTCATTTTCTGAAGTCATTATTAGTCTTTCTGTTTCTTGCTTGGGGATTCCCCCCCCCCCCCTTTTCCTTATAGACCTCTTCTAGCTCAGAAATATTTTAGGGTCACCTTGCATGCATTGCATGTTTGAGATCTTCCCACAGCTTTTCAATAATATTCAAGTCTGGGTACTCTGGAGGCTTTTCTAAAACTTTATGACTGATTTGAAGGTATGTTTCAGATTGCTGTCTTGCAGATCCAACAGCTTTTCAACTTCAGTTTCTTCACTGACTATGTGATATTAGCTTCTAGAATGTCTTGATACCTAGCAGAACTTTTTATTTATTTATTTAAATTATTTAGATAGTCTCTCATCTAACAGCTGTGACTCTGGGCGGTGTACAAAGATTAAAACCACCATAACAATATATAGCCCATAACACCCTGGTTAAAACTACAACTCCCAAAACAAAAAGGCACATTATGAGCAGAGCTCACCTAACCTCCTGGCCCAAATGCCTGGATGAACAGTCAGTTCGTCAGAGCTTTATGAAAGGCTAACAGGGTTGGGGCCATCTGGATCTGTGGAGGGATGATGTTCCACGGGACAGGCATAGCCACAGAGAACATACAACTCCAGGTCCAACAAGATGCCATTGTTCGATGGAAGGAACCAGGAGCATGCCATCCCTGTTAGGGGTGGCAGAACAATGGGGGCAGTCCTGCAAATAGTCTGATCCTATGCCATGTAAGATTTTATAGGTGGCAACCAGCACCTTGAATTGGATCTGGAAACCTACTGGGAGGCAGTGCAGCTTGCAGAGTAGCAGTGTTAACTGCTTAACACTGCTACATTAACATCTTGAGAGATACCAAAAACTGCCTGTGCTGCTATGTTCTGGACCAGTTGCAGCTTCTTAATGCTTTTCAAGGGCAGCCCCATGTATGACATGTTACAGTAATCCACACAGGAGATGACTAAGGCATTAGTTACTGTGACAAGGCTTCCCAGTACAGGAATGGGCACAGTTGGTGCATAAGATGAACCTGTGCAAAGGCCCTCTTAGCCATGGCTCCCACCTGCTTTTTGAGCAGAAAATTGCAAATTGCACACCAGCTCTGATTGGGGAAATGCACCCCTAGGCAGAGTTAAAGAGGAAAATCTCCAGAGCTGGGAGGCCTTAAAATCTACAGTAACCCAGTCTTCCCAGGGTTGAGCCAAAGCCTCTTGTTCTGTATCCAGACCCCCACAGCCTCTGGGCATTGGGAAAGGTTCTCAATAATATTGTTTGGTTGGTCCAGGGCAGAGATGTACAGCTGGGTATCATCATTAGTATATTCTCTTCTACGGGTATCATGAGCATACAGATGATATTGTTCCCCTTCTTCTCTTCTCTGGGTATCATCATCAGTATATTCTCTTCTGTGGGTACCAGGAGCATACTGATGATACTGCACCCCATATCAACAAATGACCTCTCCTAGTGGTTTCATGTAAATTTTAAATAGAAGTGGGGAGAGACTAGAGCCCTGAAGCACCCCCCAAATCTGAGACTACTGACTTGACCAGGAGCCAGCCCTGGAAAAAGGATTCTTTTTCTTCTCCTGTACAATATTTCATATGCTAGTGGCTGCTATGCAGTTCCAAAGTATAATAAAACCACCCATGTTTAATTATTGGCTAGGTATTCTTTTTTCCTCCCCAAATGCTTCACATTTTTTTCTCCAAAAGTATCTTGTGTGGCTGTGGCTGAAAAGTTCAGTTTTTGTTTCACCAGTCCAGAGCACTTTCTTCCTAAAGATTTGAGGCTCATCATTTTGCATACTTGAAACAATTGATTTTTGTAATGGGATCAGAGAAAAGATTTCTCCCTGACAACACTCCGATGCATATCATTGTTGTGTAAACAATACTGTACTAAGGATCTGTGGACAACTACTCTAGCATCAGCTAAACTTTTTAGGATGTCCTTTGCAGAGATCTGTGGGTTCTGTTTTGCAGCTCTGACCAATTTTTGAACAGTCCTAATAGATTTTTTTTGGTCTTCTAGATCTTGCCTTGACTTCAACTATTCCATGTATCTTCTGTTTCCTTGACAATGTTTCTGACACTTGAAATTGCTAGCTGGAAGCATTTAGAGATATTTTTATAGTCTTCCCCTGCTTTCTAAGAGTGAATTATCTTCATTTTCAAATGTTCAGACAGCTGCTTAGAAGAGCCTGTAGTTGTTGAAAGCAGATAGAATAACAATCAGAACTCAAGAGTTAGAAGAGTCACAGTATTTGTTTAGTGTGGAATTGTCATCACCTGATTAATTGTAGACCTAATGAGTCAATCACCTTTGGGCCCTATTTACTTTACAGTACAAAAGAAATAAAGGAACAAAAAAGCACTAAATCAACCAGAAGGCTTTCCAAAGTTCTGTACTTTGCATATTCATCATTTTCTTATTTTGAATCTATAAATACTTGGATGTAAATAGTACGGATTCAAATCTGCAAAACCATGTCATGTTTAACTTTGTACCATGTACAGGCATGTTAGGTTCTATTCACTATGCATTCATTGAAACATACAAACATACGATACAGTTTGTAGCCCACTGCCATACGTAATATTTCTAGACCCAAGTATTTTGAATATAGCTGGTAAAGAACTGAATTCCTTTTTTCAGGCTTGATTGTCTATATTTTTGCCATTGTTAGTATTAATATTGCTGTATTTTTATTTTCTTAGGTAAAATGGACAATGGAGGTGGTTTGCTATGGGCTCACTCTCCCTTTGGATGGTGAGACAGTGAAACACTGTGTTGATGTATATACAGATTGGATTATGGCTCTGGTTTTACCTAAGGATACAATTCCTCCACCTGTTATTAAAGAGCCAAATCTTTATGTTCAGAGCATTCTCAAACATCTACAGAACCTCTTTGTACCTAGGTAAGTAGTGTAGAACAAATAACTTTATGCCTGTACTGTATAATTATTGATCAAGACAGTCCATAATTTAGCCATAGTTTATCTTAAAAGCATAGCTAATAATTGGCTGGTGTGGGTCTTCCGGGCTGTGTGGCCGTGGTCTTGAAGTTTTGTTTCCTA